CTGAGCCATCCTGCTACCTATTGGCAGCTTAGCGGCTGCTCAGCTCGGGCTGGTCTCGAACCGCTGTTGCTCAGAGCTCAAACTCTTGAGCGAGCTCTTAACCAACTGAGCCATTCGGCCGGCCCTCAGAGCTCAAACTCTTGAGCGAGCTCTTAACCAACTGAGCCATTCGGCCAGCCCGGGCGCCTTTTGTACCTCGCCTCTCATCCTCTCATCAGGCGTCAGCCATTGCTACAGCAACTGCCTCTGCATAGGTATGATCTGGGGGCACCTTGTCTCATCTGCAATACCTTTCTCTCGATTTCTGTTCTGGGGCTTGTCTGCCAGGACTCTACTTCTTGGGACAAGTTATGACAGAGTTTATAACCCCATAAGCAACTCTAAACCAATGGAGAACTGGAGCCTGGAGGTGGATGCTCTGGTTTTTCACCCTTAGGTCAGAAAGTAGGAGGCTCATTTCCCAGGCTCCTCAGAGGGCCTTCAGGAGAATGGAGCCCTAATTGCCTGTACTGCTGACCAGCCCAATACAGAACCCCTGAACCGGCTTCCCTCTGCCCCTGCCTAACTCTCCCAGTCCTTCAGCACTGTTTTCTGGGACCTACATGCAAGTCTTTGTCTCAGGCTTTTTTTTTTTTTGGTAGAATCTGGACTAAGGCAATGGCATCTCTCTAGTTACGGCTGAACAATATGAGAATTGTTATTATTATAATGACCATTTTATAGGGGGTCGTGTGGTATCTAGAAAAAGCATTAGGCGAAGAGTCAGGAGAATCTTCCTTTTTGGTATTTGGCCTCTGGAAGATTATTTAACCATCAGGTCACCAGTAAAGCTATAGTGATAAGCAATAAAGGGGAAGCCATGTTGGTACGTGGGCAGGATTCTGTTAGCTGGTTATGGCACTGTGGCCTCTGGTATCTAGTGAAAGGTGTTGAGCATAGGGGGATAGTTCCTGAATCTAGAGGTGCTGAGAGAGTAGATGAGCGTCCCAAGACAAGGGTTGGTGGTGGGACTTGGGCAGGACTTCACTTATTTGAACTGAGACATAAATTAGAGATTCTATAGAGAGAAATGACCCTATTCTAATTAATAACAGGAATTGAAATGTAAGAGCAAAGCTCTAACCAGAAGGTCAGATGGGACAACAGGGGGGCTTTTGGTGCAAAATCCCACCGCATTAGGTTGGAACTTATTAAGTTGCAACAACCTAATATGAGAAACTAAAAATGGGGAGTAGTCCCAACTCAGAGGATGGTGGGCTAAGGAGGCTGGATACCAATTGACGCCTTGCGTGCACAGGCTAGCTGCACTCTATAATTACTAGTTTCATTGTATAGTGAAGGGTAATTCTGTGACTTTTCAGGCTGTATGGTTAGTTATCCCAGTGACTTAGGGCATGGGCAGTTGATGTACTTTCTGCTAGAGTACAGATGTTGTAGGCCTTATTAAATCCTCTATACCCCCAGGAAACACTTAATGAATGATGCTCCCCTTAAGAAGAAGAATAATTAACAATAGCTGTATTATTCATATTAATTTATAGTTACTGGTTGCTATAATTAATGTTATTTATAAAAATCATCATAATTATAGCACATTACAATTTACAAAGTATTTTCCCATCCATTTATTTATTTATTTTTTAAATCTGAATTTTTTTAACATCCCTCTGGCTTAGGAAGGGCAGGTGACATTTTGTTTGTTTTACAGATGAGGAAGCTATGATTCAGGAAAGAATTCAACCAGACTCCAATTCACCGCCCTTACCAGTACATTGTGCTGTCTATGAGTATATGGAAAAACATTTATCAAGTTCATAATTATTATAATGTTTTATATCTGCACATAAGAGATATGTGTTTAAGAGATGTATCTCTTAGTGATACCACAGTATTTCATAGTTATTAATACTCAGTGGGTATCACCTCTAATAGAGGGGTTAGCACTTTCAAAATGTCTTGTTCCTAGAATAAAAACCCCCTAGCCTCACAGGGTTTGGTCAAACTGAAAATTAAGACTCTGAAAAAATGTAACCAAGCTGTCATTTCACTGTTTTTACTTTATTTTATTTTTTTGTTATTTTCATTTTTGGCTGTGACAAGGAAGCTGAGGGAAATCTCTTATTTTTCACAAGGGCGACCTTCAAATTTGGTCCATACAATGCGAAATACACAGACACATACAAACATGGACTCTAAACATGTCTATACCATAATATATATTCTATATACTAGAGTATCCACTGATTTTAGTGTACCATTAGCTATTTTTATCCAAAGGATGTTAATCAGAGAAAGGTTACTGGCTGGACCTATGGAGGAGTCTGTCTTATTCGTTCATTTGTTTACTTGAAATATTTCTTGAACATTTCCTTGGATCAGGCCCTCAGCAATATTCTGGGGAATCCGCGAGGAGCAGAACACAATCCTTCCACTCGTGAGGGCTCCATTTTCCTGGGGGAGACTGATGACAGGCAAATATACCTAAAATATAATGTTAGATGGTGATCAATATTATGAGAAAAATAAACAAAATGAGGGCCGTGAGGCGTCATGCAGGTACATCCAGGACAAAATGCTGTGAAGGCTGCTTTAGATGATGTGATAAGCGATACCCATAATTAAAGAGGGCTCCTGAAGAAGGATGCCAGCTGCCTGTGGGGAAGGCAGCAGCCATTGGGTTTGGCTCAAGACGCTGGGCCATGGCTTCATAGAGATTGGTGTTATCTGTGTGTTTGGGACAAGTCAGGCCCAGAGGGATTAGCTCATGCTGGCTGAATTCACAAGAGACTGATATGTCATATCATATCCCCTTAGGGTTTTTTGATGCAGAGATTTAAATTAATAAATTCAAAGAAGCTGGTTTGGTGAGCAAACTACTAGGGGGAAAGGACTAGTGGTTTTCATAGGCAATTCCGTGATGTTATTGTTGCCTGATGCAGCATAGTCACTAAAAAGATACAATTTACTTAGAGGATTATGTGATTTAATGATAGTTTTTCAGCGCATCCTGTTGTATTTTTTGTTGTTGCTGAGGATATTCTGGTTTTTTGGCTAATGCTTTTTCTAAACTTTCCCAGGAACTATCCTGATATTTAACTTCCTTAGACAAGTTCAGTAAAATTGATTAGATTACACTAACTTTCCATTATTTCATTTCCATCGGGCTTATTACAGATGCACTTTGGTTTCTTGATGGGATCTTAAGAGACCACCCCCATTATAATCCACGACCATTATTAGCTTGTCACCTTAAAAGATTAACTCACCCTGCTTTCAAATCCGAGGGCCACCTCGCTTTATATTCCCTTGCCTTAGGTCTAGGCATACAATTAGCTTGTTTTCCTGAGCCTTCTCACAATGCCTGGAAATGTCCTTGTAGCAGTGTCATTGTCTTCTACTCAGCCCTGATTGATTCTAAGTGGGTGCTTCTGATAACACAGAACATGGCACCGGCTTCAGAATCAGTGACCATGGCCTGTTCTTCCTGTGCAACCACTTGGCCAGAACCCTGAGCAGCCTCATTCTAGTTCATTGTTTAGGCTCATTGCTTGGGACTTGCTATCTCGCTCTCTCTCTCTCTCTCTCTCTCTCTCTCTCTCTCTCTCACCAATATCCACTGATTCCCTCGATAATTCCTCTTCCTGGACTGTAAGACTCTCACCCTTGCCCCTTCCTGCTCCAGCTAAAATGTCTTCATTCTAAGCAGTGGCTTCTGAACACCAAGAACTTGCAACATCTTCCCAGTTGGATCTGCTCCTTCAGTACAGGGTAGAGACATTTATTTCCTTTTACTTTTATACTCATCAAAAAATAACTGTGTAACCTTAAGAAATCCACCTTACACCTCTGTTTTCTTATTTGTCAAAATGGGATAATTCTACTCCAGACCGCCTCCTTGAGATTTTCTAAGAGAAAAATAAAAAGGTGCACGAGAGCTTACACAAGACCACACTGTAACTTGAGAAATTTGAACTTAGACTGATATCAATGGAAACTGAAAATTTTCCGTTTTAACCTGTCTGTGTTGCTTCCGGCAGGGAAATCCTGGAGGCAAGACCCTTGAAGAAAGACGCTCCAGCCTGGATGCTGAGATCGACTCCTTGACCAGCATCTTAGCAGACCTTGAGTGCAGCTCCCCCTACAAGCCCCGCCCCCCACAGGTAAGAGCTGTCCGGAAGTGTGTCCACACTGCCAGTTACAGCTAGTCTACAATTATGTGAAACAACAAGCTGCTGATAGCTCTTCCTTTTTTTTTTAAATCTTTTCAGAGTCAACGGTCTAAGTGGTCTTTTTATTTAATATCAACATGTGTTACTTAACAGATGGAAACTTCTTAAGTTGATTTTATTAGTATTTCCTTTAAAATACTACAACATTATAGAAAAAGTTTATGAAAATTAAATCTGTTCTTATTCCATCGCCCTGGACTTTTTCTGGCTTTGCATACAAGTACATGGGTGTTTTGTTGCCTGTTGCTACAGCCTTCACAGGTAGGATTTTGCATGGCTATGTTAAAATTAAGGTGAGGGCCACCTCTCCTGTAAAGAAATTTTTTTGTTGGATATGTGAAGTGGCTTCCATTTTTTGTTGTTGCTGTATGCAATACTACGAGAGACACGTCTGTGCCTATTATTTAGTGACAGGAATTTAATTTGTTTTTTTAAGTGTACATGGTACCTTGTTATTTCTTTGCTTACTTTGGATCTTTGCTATTTTTCTGCAGCTTAGTTTATTATCTGCATTTTAGAAGTTGATCTTCCATTGCTAGTGGTCATTCCTGTCTCTCTCAGGTCTTCAGAAGGTAATAGCCAATCGACGTCAGGGCTTCTGGGTCCTCAGAAGACAGCCACCAGAAATCTAGATGCAAGCTTTGGACTAGGGCTATCGTCACCGTGTTGATTGACTTTTGCATGATGTTCGCTTGACTAAATGGCAGGCATACAGCACTCTCAGTTTCGCTTCAGTTCTTGAATAGCTGCTCCTATATTCACGATGGTTTCTTTCACAAGTTAAAGACTAGTCCTGCTTCTCTGCTATCAGTGATTTCAACACTGAGCTGCACACAAGGTGTCAGTGGTTGCCTCTTTAGACATAGTCCCATTGCCATTCTAGACACAAAATGGGAGTGTCAGCTCTGAAAGGCCATACAATGAAACACACTAAAACTTAGCTGTTTTTGTTCTTGGCCTCACCAGACCTGTTGGTCATGGAAATACTCTTCATTTCTGTAAACATGAACTGCAGGTATGTAGCAGACACTCGGTTTTTTTGGATAAACTGGTAGGACAAGAAGAGTGGATGCTTCAAAGGGCAAAACAAATGGACCAAGTTTTCATCTTTTAGAACCCATTATATCATATGTTAAACTATGGCAGATATTATAGAAACATCAGGAAGGGAGTGATATATACTTTTAAAGGTGGCAGAATCTGAGAAGATTTATCAGAAGACTTGTGCGTTCAGGTGAAGGAAAGGGTGGAAAAGAAACGATGGAGATAAACTGAGTCTTAGGGAGGGAGGTCTAGGCTGCTGGGTGGCTATGGACAAGGCGATCAAAGGTTTAAAGTGGATTTAGGACTGGGAGGCTTCCTACTGAGTACCTGGGGACAAGTTTGAATGCTAGGTCAAGATTTTGGCCTATCTTTTATAGATAACGGGGAATAGTTGAAGGTTCTCATGCGGGGGAAAGATAAATTTCATTCTGAGAAAAGGAACATAGAAATAAGACCAACTCTGGAAAGATGCAGGAGGATGGGCCGATGTCTGAGAAATATTCTCCAGCAAGCCTTGCTTACGTGCTGGTTGCTGACCGTAGTTTGATGTTAAGCATTTTTCCTATTCCACTCAAGCGAATATCTCAAGCCCGGTTTCTCAGGAAAGTGAAGCCACTGACTTTGCCCCTGGACTCACCCGTCCATGCCCCCATTCCTTTTATAAAACAGGGGTTTTGCTTAAGCTTTTTATTTCCTCCTCAAATCTTATGCCCTAATATATACTGGGGAGATTCACTTAGAGGTTTTTGTTTAATATAGCCTCCATTCCTTAAGACTGTGGTACATATGCCTTCCATAAACCACTGCATTTTAATGGGTTTATTCAGTAGCTACATTTTTGTTTGCGCAATCTTACTGTACACACAAACTCATAATCACTGACCTTTGGGCAGTGCTTTACTGATCATAAAGCACTTTCACATACACTCTCACCTCGTAGGGGATGTACTTATTTTGTGGCTGAGGGCACTAAGACAGCAGACAAGTGACTTACTTTTGGGCATAGGACTATATTGTGAGTCCGGCTGGGCCCTGAATTTAGACCCGTGCTTGATTTTAAGTTCTAGAACCAAATTGAGAATGTCAGGATTTTTAAAAAATGATTTTACCAATGACAAAACTATGAAATAAGTTATCTGAGGAACAGTATCCCTTGAGCATGCTTTCTCATAAAAAGAAAAACATTCAGAAGGTTTAAAATGTTCATCATGGTAACCTTTAAGTAGAATAAGTTGAGAATTAAGGTAAAATCTACTTTTGATGAGCCCGCCCCATTCAGAAATTAAAGAATGATCCTTTCTAACTTTTTTTTATTATTCTAATTTAGGAAAGCAAGTGTTAATTGGGAGATGCAACTCATTCTTCTGAATTATGTTCACTGTGGTGGAACTGAATTAGATGCGTTAGTATTCATTGGTTACCATAATTATATGCTGTGAGAACAATAATCACACACTTAAAATATTAAAAATATGTGCCAAGAGAAGATGATGTCTGCAGCAGACTGTGTTGTGTTGTAATTAAAAGGTACTTGGGAAGTCCTAGAAATGAAGACTGTTAGTGCCCAACTTTGATGTTTCCATTTTTGATCCAAAGCAAATTGCAAAACCTGTTGAGTCACCTGACTTCTAAAAGGTAGGCCTGATTTCTCATTACTCAAGCACGTGTTGTGTGCTTTCCCAAACCTACCTCTGAATCGCCTTTATAAGGCTGCTTTGACTCATGGATCTAGGGGAAAATAATAATATATGTGGGATGTTTGTACAGTTAGAGGTCCAAAGGAGCTCTAGTCACATAACAACTTTGAAAAAAATATCTGAGCACTTGAAAATAGATTTTATGGAGCATTTCCCTCCTATTTCCAAAGGAGCATTTTCTACTGTCAGATTTCCCAACTTTAGATCAGTTCACTTATTTATTCATATTTTTGAGAAACATGGCTTAATTCTACATTTTCATTCATTCACCTAACATTCATTGATATCCTACTATGGATCAAACATTAGAAATATAAAGATTAATATTAACATGTCCTTGCTCTAGAGAAATGCTTGTCTTACCGAGGAGACAAGAGTACAAACAATTTTAAAAGACACAGAAGAAGGGCGTCAGTTTGCTGCTTTATCATGTGATTCACCAGATGGTGAAATTATTAGAAAATCAAAAATAGGAGTATCGACATTCTATTTTATACCTTTCTAGGGAAGTGTCAGGGAGGACTGCACAGAGCGGGGAGCATTTCAGTTTACTTGGCTGTCTAAGTCATGGAAAGGCATGGCATTCAAGGTGGGAGAATAACAGTAATGAGAAAGTTAAGGAATGTTGCAAGTGAATGCCTTGTTTGAAGAACAAGTTTGCTCAAATGCAATATAGGGTATATGGAGTGCAAAGGGGAAAGACTGATGAAGCTACGTGCAGTTAGTACCTAAGCAGCCCTCTTGATACCCAAGGACTCTAATAATAAGGGAAGGAATTTAGGGGAGATAGTGTTTCTATCCACAGTGGGTTTGGAGGTAACTCCTTTAGCAAATTTTAAATAAGATGCAAAAATGTACATCTGTACCACTGCACAGAGGTATGCAATTAAACTAGCTTAGTGTTTGGAACTAAACTTCCTAACTATTTTAAAATGTGTGTATTAGGGAGTAGTTTTAGAAGAACAGATGTGAGAATTCAGAAGATGTGGTATGATCATGGAGTATCATCAGAGATAGGTGGCCCTTTAAGGTCATGTCGCCAGACTCTTACTGTATAGATGGAAAGTCTTTGCTGAGAGAGGGAATGAACACTACTCAGTGAGGCCCAGTTAGAGGCAGGAGGAATGGTTCTTTCTTTTTTTCCTGAAACATGACAGAATGGTTTCCTGTGGATGATAACAGCAATCAAGGGATAGTTTGGTTCCCATGGACTTTTAAATTAGTTTATTCCAGAATGCCTCCCTTTTGTGGTACTTTCTCTCTAAAATATGTCTTGGAAACATAACAAAGGAGTAGATAAATAAAAAACATAACTCAAAGATATACAGAGAATTTATGACAGTATAGTGTCTTTGAGTTATTGGATACCTAGACCCCACCCATCAGGTATCATTTGTTTGTAGAAGTGCAGCTTAGGCTCTTTGGAAGAGCTACACAAGCGGTCAGATTGAGATTCTCTTCATTTCTTAGAAGACAAATGATAAATCATGGACTTATGATTTTTTTGTTTTCTTTTTCTTTGTATTTTGGCAGAGGCAGGGCTAGAGTTCCTAGTAAAAACTGCCTTTTCTTCCTTGCAGTGAGTTTGGTAGGTTTGGAGCTGGTGTGTGGGTGACTTTGAAGAACTTTTAGATATTTTGTATTAATATTTCATGGTAACTGGAGATTCAGTAATTTTTCAATGAAGATGCTTTTGAATTGGTCAAATGCAATTTCACTATCCTCATGTAAACTAGTATGAAAACATTTGGAGAGATTTTGAAGGTAAGGATTGGGATGGGCATAGTTTAATATCTGAGACTCCAAGTCTGCCAATGAGAGTACTGTCTTCTCAATTCCTTCATAAAAAGAGCTCTGTTTGTGTGAACTGCATACATCACCAGCCTGAGCTTCCTTTCCTTTGTTTCCAAAATGGGCATGAGAACTACAATGATTCCCCCTTGCAGAGATACCATATTGTTCTAGAGTTACAGGAGTTAAGATGTTGGCTCCAAGCCATAGTTCACTCAGTCTGGTCCTTCCCATTTCATTTTGGGATTGTTAGCTTGTGTCTGGAGCTTGCTTTAAAGCTTCAGGTCTTTGTAGGCTTGGGGCTTATCCTTTCTGAACGCTGGGTACTCTGTAAATGCTATATTGATCTGCCTTATTTAAAGCATTTAAAAAGTGTTGTAATTTTTTCATCTGTTTGGA